GATGATTGTCTACCTTATTTTCCAGTTAATGCATAATGGCTGTGTTGCTCCGGACTAAAGACACATCTATTTCGCAAATACCTTCTGGGATGATTGTCTACCTTATTTTCCAGTTAATGCATAATGGCTGTGTTGCTCCGGGTTGAAATGGCTAGAAAGACTTTGAGATTGTATGCTTGTAATTAGTTTTTGTATTGTTGCGTTTGTTTTAAATGTGGTAAATTATAGATATGTTTTTGTTGACTTTGTACCGCGCTTCGAGCCTTTGGGGATGAAGCGTGTTTTTGAAATGAACTTTATTATTATTATTATTTAAATTTATTCGATTTCCGTAAAATAATAGAAAATAACTATTATCATTTTTAAGAATCTGAACGTATCTTTTCGGTTCTTCGGCGTTATGTCTGGTGTCTTTAGTAAACAGCCGTAGAAAAGCATTTGAATCTTCAAAAAGATCAATATCCGTGGCAAATGTCTTCTTAAGACTTGAGTGCGACATGTCTAGTGATAGCCATCGATACTTTATAGTATAGGCTTACACAGCAAGCATCGGCAACACACTAATCAAAATCTTTAGCAATCTCAACAATTTATAGTGTCTGAAATATTCGACTGCTGAGACAGTGATTGTATTCTAACGTCTTAAAGACGATGTTGAATTACTTTTTATCTGGAATTGCAGCCAATCGCTAAATTATTTTTTGAAACTTTTAGCTTTTTGGCCATTAGAGGAGCTATGAAAAATAAGACATTTGGCACTACTAGTGACACAATGAACAATAAGACATTTGGCTCTAATGGTGACACAATAAACAATAGGACTTTTGGCACTAGTGGTGATACAATTAACAATAAGACATTTGGCCCTACTAGGGACACAATAAACAATCAGACATCGGGCACTAGTGGTGATACAATGAACAATAAGACATTTGGCACTAACGTGTTTCAATAAACAAGTTGAACACGGTACCGACCAGTCGTTGACCTACTCTGTTCACTGTCTATACAACTTAAACTAAACTACCGTCAAATTTACGGGACTCTTGAATCTAGATCAATAACATTATTTTATTAAAAGCAAAGACATAATAATAATAAAACCTATTGCCAGATAAATGTCCCTACCTGACCTGTGTCAGTGCGTGCACGGTGATACCGATCTATGCCAAGCCGCGAGGCATTACCAGCTAATGTGAAAGAAAAAAAGAAGTTGTCTTGTCTGGAAACATGACATTAATAGCGTTCAAATGTTTTGCTGTTGTTTTCATTTTTCTTTTTTTAGCGCAGAGTAGACAAACTTAATGTTGTTGTTTTGTTTGTTTTATTTATTTCTGGGTAGGACCGATCGAAGGGAGGGTTGAAGAGAGCACCCGCCTCGGGGCGCCATCTTTCCAAGGCCACAAAGTCATCATTTTTTCCATGTAAAATATATTTACTAATTTTTTTTTAAATTTGCGGGGTGGGGGTAAGAATCGCCAAAGTTGAGAGTTTTCACCGGGAAAGCTTTTGCTTACCATGGTCCTTTTTCTGGGTAATGGTACAGTGAATGTGTGTTTAAAAAATCTGTTAGTGGCGCCTTTTTAAGGTATCCTTAAGTCCAGTTGTCCGTGGACTTCATACCGGGATCCCGCATGATTTTTAGTAAACAAATGACTTCTCGGGAAAATCTCCCATACCGTTTTCCCTGGATAAGCTCATTTCCCGGTCCCTAGGGGAAGAAGAGGGGACCAAACATTTTTAAAAAAAAATATTATTCCTTTTGTTCAAAAGCTTTCGTTTACTGTTAGACCATAGCATTTTCTGTTGTATTATTTCATTTCGGGTATCGGACGTCATGTCGTTACGTGCCTGGACTGAGAGTCTAAGAGACAAACTACGAAAAGCCTTCCTTAAAACTTATGTATCAGTTATACTGGGGTATCATAAAGATATTATACCATTTATTGATAGGCGAAATGTTTATCATTAAAAATAATCTGGAATGTTAGAAGAATTAATAAATAAAAAAAGAATACAAGAACTAAGCACACCACTCAAGACATTTAGGCATCCGCCCGTTTCAAGGAGACGATAGAATAATGTGGTTTTTGCTGGACGAAATCACAAGGCTTTTGGATTTTGTTAAGGTTCCCTGTCACCATATTTTTCTGTTGGGGGTTGCCTCCCTCAGCCTTTTACCATGGGTTTGTAGCCTCAAAGCACCCGATGCTCGCGATCAGAGTATCTCTCCTCCTAGGTGAGCTACCATCCACGGTTGATGTGTCCCATCCAATCGGAGTGTTTGGGGGGGGGGGTCTCTGTGTATTGAACCACGTATATTGCCTTTATGGTCTTAACTAATATGCAATCGTGTCAACATGATAGGAGCTATGTTTAAAAGAGATAAGGTCGTTCCATGAATATAATCCTTGATTTCGACGAGTGAAATTTCACCATTATTGATCTATAAATAAAACTAATTACAATACAAAGGTGTGGGTGTAATGGGCTTGATGAGTCACTAATATGGAGGTTTATCCATACGTTAAGTAAGAACAAAAAAATAACAACAAATTTGCACACACCCTTCCCCCGTTGCACCCGAACGTTTTGGACCCCCCCCCCCCCCGTGCCCCCCAACCGTTTGGGCCCCCCCCCCCCCCATGCGTACGTACAAACTAAACATTTCACCTCCCCACCCACATGTTGCAATTTATATGACTTAAACACGGCATCTGAAGTCCCCACAAACCGTGTCAAAAAGATATCAAGTGTTTTCTCCGCTGACTGATGTAGGATGTGGGCTGGAGCGCTCTCGTGGCCGTTGCTTCCTCATGTGGTCTCCCCAAGATATTAGCCTACATGGATCTCATTATTTTATTGACATTTTCAAACCAACGTGGTAGGACGCGACATCTAGCGGTCCCGGGGCTCTAATCAACACGTCTGCAGTGTCATACCGAGTAACAGGCGCTGCAACCGACCCCCTGGATTTATCCGGGGGTACAGCGCCACCATGTAGGGGGAATCTGTGTGTGAAGACACGAGACAAGGATCTTGCGTAGTATCTGCGTCAGAGAGAGAGAGAGCACAGCTGTATGATAGCTACCCAGTGCAGTGGAAGATAACAACAGAGACAGGTCGGGATCATGATTACTAGTTGCCGCTAATGGACGGGTGGGTTGTGGCAGCCCATGCCCACGATTCTAGCATACAGTACAGCCTTTGAGGGAACTGTTTCTAGGCAACCGTTTCATCCCAGCTACTTAGTGAATTATTCACGGGGTAGAAACCATCTTGAAACCCTATTAGAGGGCGTCTGACGCCACTCCGGAGTGTGAAGGGGTGTATAATTAGGAAGTTAATATATCCATCCCAGTATTAGAAAACTCGATTGCTGGTGTTGCGAGAGGCGTACTATCAACCGACCAGGTTCTCCTTGGTTGATATCGTCCCACTTGCTTGGTCAACCGAATGGACGGAGGCTGGGGCTGTCTCGGCGGCGGAGTGCTTCCGACGTGCCGCTTTGCAGCCATAAATTTTTTGATTTGGGTTGGGGAAGGGGGTACGCTGGGAAGGGTTTAATGAGCTTCGCCTCAATGAATTGCTGTTTTTTCTAAAAAATATTATTTAGCAGACTCGGAGCAAACCAGTAACTCACTTGAGTAATTATGTTTGCAGTAGGTTACAAATGGTTTCCATTGCTGCCACATAGTGACCTACAAACTTGTTTTTTATTTATTTTTCCCTTAACCCTTGAATTAAAAACAAAATATTTGATATTTTGAATTGTGCTTGTTAGAATTTGGCATAGGACGCCTGGGAAAACGATAACTAGCTAGATTCGATTCATTATTAAAATTCAGTTCCTTGCGAAAAACTCTTAGCTTTGCTGTGGGTAAAATACTGACTCAACATCAATATTTTTTGTAAGTTCCTTTCCTGTAATCTTTGTCTCCTGAAAACCTTTCTCTCAGTGTATTAAAAATGTTTTTTTTACTCCATAAGTTAATAACATTTAAATAATAGTCTTTAATTAAAATTTTTTATCAAATTATTTAAGCAAAAACAAATTGTTAAAAATAAGAATTACAATTACATTAAAAGATGATCTGCTGTAACAATCTCATAGTTTTTTAAGTTGTGTTTGTATTTAGTGTGTGTGTAACATTAAAGGTCTTTTTCCTACGCCTTTCAAACCCCCAACTTTACAAAGCTTTTTTTTTTTTTTTTTTTTTTTTTTTTTTTTTCCATTCAGGTATACATTTTTCATTGGTTTTTTTTTTTTTTTTTATTTTTTGTTTTTTNCTATGTTGTCAATATGATCACCACCACCACCACCCCTATGTTGTCAATATGATCACCACCACCACCACCCCTATGTTGTCAATATGATCACCACCACCACCACCCCTATGTTGTCAATATGATCACCACCACCACCACCCCTATGTTGTCAATATGATCACCACCACCACCACCCCTATGTTGTCAATATGATCACCACCACCACCACCCCTATGTTGTCAATATGATCACCACCACCACCACCCCTATGTTGTCAATATGATCACCACCACCACCACCCCTATGTTGTCAATATGATCACCACCACCACCACCCCTATGTTGTCAATATGATCACCACCACCACCACCCCTATGTTGTCAATATGATCACCACCACCACCACCCCTATGTTGTCAATATGATCACCACCACCACCACCCCTATGTTGTCTTTAACTTAAATCAGGATAAAAGTTTGAGATCAGTTCTTTTAAGCTCTAACACAGTGTTTGTGATAGTTAATAAGACTAATAATTTTTGTTAAAAAAATGTGTATATCACATCTAAAAAATTTATTAACACTTATTGAATATCAAGATTCATAATTGTAGGGTAGGCTACACTAAAATTCTATTAGTAATCAACCAATTCTGAATGACAAAACTTGAGAATCTTACCGGTACATAGAACATCACACAAATCAGGCTTTATAGTTAAATATAATTTATTTTTTATTTCTGTATTGGTGAATAATTGTACAAATAAATTGATATCACTACAGTAATTACTACAATAAAAAATTCAAATCCTGGTTGCAAGTGGAAGATAAAAATGGAAAGGAAAGTGGCCACCGGTATAGCTGAGGTAATAACAAAGAGGCGCACTATATTACTACTGTGTTTCATTATAAGTGACATCACCAAACCATTTACAGCCTGTAAGCAAAAGACAATTATATTTATATGATAATTTTCATTAGTTAAAAATTCTGATACATGATATAACGACTTAAATAGAATCTTTCGCTAAATTGTGGATTATATGAAAGCCAACAGTAAATCAAAGTGATTATACTTTTTCTTGCACTTGGGGCAACCTTTTCAATTTTAAAGTTAACAGTGTTTGAAAAAAAAAAATTAGACCCTAAAGGAATCTGGGCTAACTTGATATTAACTGATTAGGAAAAATAAATTACTGCTCAAAGTAAAGACACCAAAAGATATATATATTTACCCATTTTGTTGTAAAATAACTAGAGTGATTTTATATTATTTAAGGATTGATATGAATTTCTCATCACAAGATTTTAAGTAAAATGGGTATTAACAGCTTCAACTGGGTTTAACCTTGTAACTAAGATTGAAAACATTGATTGTAGGGTTGTACAATCCATTATACCTGACAGACTATAACAATCCATGTATACTTTGTATATCCTTGAAATAAACTGAGAGTTTCACCTGAGAAGAAAAACATGAATATTCAAAATACAATACATAAAAATAACCATCAAATATATGCCAACTAAAGTAATTAAAGGTAAAATTATTGCACACCACATATTAAAGTTAAAAAAAATGTAAATATCTCAGTCCTTTAAAAGTAAAATTGGTGAATAAAAGGTTGACATATGATTTTTACAGGGATACAATTTTCTTTGACAATGGTGACTGATTGTATATATTTTAAAATCAGATGTAATGTTAGCATGAATTTTTATATCAAGGAGGAATATTAATTCTGATTTCATTTAAGAAATATATAATGAATTTTAAAATAGAGAAGAAAAAATCTCACCAGCTTGAAATATCCACATTAAAAAATTTAAAATTATGCCAAAACTATACAAAAAACAACTCTGCAGAGGTAATGATATCTGAAAAAATAGATAAATTGATTCTTATAAGGCAAAAATCTGACAAAGACAGTATAATCTAACACCGACATAAAATTGTATGATAAAAAAAAACAAGTGTTTAATAATATTTCATTTTAAGACTCTACTCTTCAGGTGACATTCTGTTAATTGATGAAAAATTTGTAATCTTCGCAACTTCAGAAAATTACATTTTAATAATTGCAAATTTCAATTCTCAGCAAGCACTTGGGTAAATGTATATGAAAACTATAGACAGTGTATATACCTTGATATCCCGCTTGAGAATGTACTCAGTATACACACCAGCAAAACCTGATATGATACAATAAAGAACTGCCATGAACAATCCAGTAGAGGTGACATGGATTTCTCTCAATGACAAGGTCTTTTCTGTGTAGCCACTGTAGCTAATAACAGAAATAAATAATGATGTTATCATAATACTCTGACTCTAGTCAACAACGATTTTTCTATTGGAAGTAAAGCATATATGTTGTGTGTATTTTAAAGCTCTGATTCCATTATAAAGTCCTAATCTGCCCGGCACATCTAGATTTTAAGCTATGCATGCATCCAAGAAATATTAATAAAATGGCCGATGTTGAGTAGGGCGACACAAGCCTGAGAAGGTCTCATGGTGAAGTTAGGTTGCTGATAGATTCCTGATCAGTGGAGACTGTTTATAGACTCCAGCAAGTTGAGCTTGAAAAGCTGTGTTGTTGCATAATGGTAATGAAAAAATCCTATGTTCCTATAGTTATAGCTCACGCTCTAGGCCCCAAAGAGACATATGATCCAAAGAAACTTACTGTGAAAAAGATCAACTGCTAAGAACACAACTTAAACATCTATGCACATAAGAAAGTGGTAGGATTCTTCTAGGATTTCATCTGGTTTAAAAAAAATAATTGTGTGCTTTTTTTTTCTTGTGTAACAGTCCTGTCGGACGGCACAATAGTCACGTCGAATGTCCCTAAAATGCATTTCTTTCATTCTCATCTGGAGTTTTACAAACAAACTTGATTAATAAAAACAATGAGCTTTGAGAGATGTTGAGATTAAGATGTTTTAGCCTTGGAAACAAAGGAATCAAGCCACTGAAATTCCAATATGTGGGGCTTTTACTGCTGGTTTCTTCAGAGGGCAACATTAACAGTGTGTGCAACCGGGCAAACAAGACCCTGGGGTTCCTAAGGCGCAATCTGAAGATCGGCAACTCAAGCGTGAAAGAAAAAGCCTATAAAGCCTTTGTCCGACCTATTTTAGAGTATGCTTCTACAGTCTGGGACCCATTTACCCAGAAAAGCATAGACAGGTTGGAGGCGGTCCAGCGACGGGCAGCACGCTTTGTCATGAACCGCTACAGAAGCACCTCGAGTGTTGGCAGTATGCTGGAAACACTGGGCTGGTCGACATTGGAAGAACGACGACGACTATCCAGGCTCACCATGTTGTACAAGATAACAAATGGACTGGTGCACTGCTCCGGAATCAAACAGAAACTCGTTAATCTTCCCCCCAGACTGCGACGAAGTCACGACAAACAGTTCCGGCTGGTAAAAACAAGAACGAAGTACAGAAGCTCCTCATTCCTGCCGAAGACAATAGGGGACTGGAACAAGCTTCCAAAAGCAACAGTTGAGGCGGCTACACTCGATACATTTGTGTCTATTGCCTCCTGTATTCCAACCCCCAGTTCATAACACCACTGCTGAGTCGCCCTTGCAACCAGTGAAGTATCCCATTGAAACCCATGGACAGTAACATCGCAAACCTCTCTGAAACATAGGAGCCAGAATGATCAATTCATTGATCGTGGGCCCTTAAAATAAAGAAGAAGAAGTATTTCTTTTCTGGAGGGTTCTAACTTACTCCCTATAAATATAAGCCAGCAGCTTTCTTAGATGGGAGAGAGCTTTTTGCTTTTGCTTTTTTTCCTAGACAATTACAAGATGTAATATTCTTACACCATTGTACTCTTTATTTCTGTGCAAATTAATATTTGCATCTTTCTAGTACATTGTATTCTACTTTTTCTATTACTGTGAAACTTGATATATTTTTTATTTCTGTCTATTTGTTTTTGTATTTATATTTAATAGTATAATTAAATTGAATATTTTATTATCAGTGCCTGCGCTAGACAGTTTTAGGTTGGGTGAAAATAGGCAATTGTCAACCTCTGGAAAATTATGGGAAGAGTTCAGAAAATTTTTTTTTTTTTATTTCAACAAATTTTGACGCCTTTGGCGGTTTGAGCGCCTGTGTGATGATCACTCATCATATCCACCTTGAGCCAGCCCTGGTTACTATCACTAGCTTTGGTATTGTTTTTCTTTGTATATTGGTTTTCAGTCTTATGTTACGTACTGTTAAAAAAACAAGCCAAATCTTAAAACTGATTAAATTTTCAAAACCATATAATGGTACGTAAGACATACATATGTTTATATTATATTTAATAAAATTGCCTTTAGATTTTTTTCTTAAATTATATAGTATATACTTTACTCAATTTCGGCATGTTTTTATTAAGACTTTATATGGAATTCTTTTTTTATATTTAAGAAATCAAACATAAAATGTCTTATTGAAAATATTTTAGTTTTTTATTATAATTCAAGCTATAAAAGAATAAATAACACCTATTGAACGTTATTACTATACTGAGTATAGTGAAACAGTGATAAACAAATATTAGTTCTGTAATTTGTTAGCATGAGACACAATTTAATTTTCACATGAAGCTGTATAACTTAAAATCCTGATGTGCTACACAAAATTGACTTCAGATATGGAATCAACAGACTCTGTTTTGTATATACCACACAAAAGATGCCCAGTAGTAGATAACATTTTTTGTTGCTGTCCAGTGTTATAGAAGGGTGAGTTATCAATCTATGATAAATTAATTCATACTGTTGTACGAATACATGAATATTTAAATAACCTAAAAGCTTCACTTGACTGATTAATACGTGTGAAATACATTGTTAAAATTTGCTACCTATTCAAAGCTCCTGCAAATGTTAAAAGTGCCAATGAGATCCACTGTAAATGTCTTAGATTTCTGTGAATAATATAAAATATGATGGTCAGCCATCTAATATAGAAAAAAAACATAAAGGGAATCTAAATAAAAATAAGATTTAAAGTACATTCTGTTAATCTCATTATCCCAAGGCTGATTCGCTGCTGCTTTAGCGGCAATGAGGCAGGTGAAATTTCTAAGTGACCAAAAATTAAATTTTAGAAATTAACATAATATTTTGTATGCTTATTATCATTCTTTCCCATATGTCTACAAAAAAATCTGATAAAAAATAAATTCAATTTCTGAAATTTGTATTAAAAAAACTCTCATCATACTAAATTCTATGTTATAAAAAAAAATTCTGCATAAGTAATCTTCTACTGCCTTCATTACCTTCTCATTATTATTCTGTATAACAAGGCTGTAGATGCTATCTTGAGATTGCATAAAACCTATAAGTGAAATAGGTTGTATTTCAACTAGCAATTTTATTGTGAAATAATACCTTTTGCATAATTTGTTTTGCAAAAAATTAATTCTAAAGGATCATAATACTGACTGAAATAATTTGCACGAAGAAGCATAACTTCATTATAATATTATTATGGCAAGTCACATTCATGTGATATTGAGTGAACAAGAAAGAATTTTACTTAGGATACAAAATAGGTTTTGTCTTAACCCTTTTTCTAAAGTAGGTCTTTCAATAATACAGATGTTTTTGCTATATCATGAGTCAAATGAATTTCCATTTTTTAAAGTCATAATTTAAGATGTTCTTTAATTTTTTTTACTTTTGAAGAAAATCAAGGGAATTCTGATTAATGAACATGAGCATGGAATATACAAATCAAGTTCAACAAAGTTCAAGAACTAATTTTTACTTAATGATAAGAAAAAAATTAAATAATAATAATTTTTTTTACAATTTACATTTTTAAATTTGTGAATTAAACACATGTGCCCAGATGATTGAATTATATCCTTCAATTTAATGTAATTTGCTTTGTACAGATAAGCACTAAAAAATCTAAATAAATTGCAAATTTTTTTTTACCAATAATGTTAACAGATTAGATTTTGTGATGAGAAAAATTTATGCAGGAAAGCGCAATGGTACCCTCAATAAAATAATTGCATCCTTCTTTGACAATTTTTAAAGAGTGCCATACACAATTCAACAAAGGGTAACAAAAGATATTAATTTTAGTTTTATCAATATTTGGCCATAATTATTTTATTCGTCTTTTTAAATATGAACAAATATTAAGACAAAAAATTTAAACTAACTTGGAATGTGGCTGGATCCATCTGATCTTGCATATATACAGCCAAGTTGTTGTTGAGACAGTAACAAAAAGCTGGCACTGAGAAAGGTATGACATTTTTCATTCTGATTTCTGGCATGCCATGATTAACTATTTCTGGCCAACTCATCATCAGAGCCATTAGAAACTAAAAGAAAAATGAGAAAATAGCACGCACAAGAAGCAGAAAGAAAATGAACACAATGTTACTGAGTAAAAATAAAACTAAACAGTTTTTGTTACTTAAAATGCTAATTACTAATACAATGCTAAACTAAAGCACAGTGTTGAAATTCTTAGTATTGCCAATGGTTTTTGGTAACTTACTTTTATAGTTTCAATACTAAGAACCATCGAGAATGAATCATATTTCACATGTCCATCAACACGGCTTAAGTTAATGAATATACCATAAGTGCTGTAAATAAAAACTCTGAAAAAAAAAACACCACACAAATCAGAAAGTAGGAATAGACTATTTTCTCCATGTTTAATTTTCTCTACCCATAGTTAGAAAGTATCTGGCTTGAAGTTAAAATTAATTTTTGTTTATAAGATATAGACATGGACCTATAAAAAATAATGAGCGTACTGTGTTATTAAAATGATAGGCCACAGCACAGGATTTTCCACAATAGAATGCATGCTGAGTTGACGATGTGCAGCAGGAGTAGGCAATAAGGGCTTCTGAAAACATTGACAAAAAAAAATGAATTTTAGTTAAATTACTTTATAGGCCTAACTATTAGTACATATCTATAACATAGATCCTGTTACAAAAATTTAGAAATGGTAATAGCATTTTGAGGCAATATTTACCTCCATCAAATTATAGTTATAGTTACTTACCATTATTAAAGACTGATGAACTTCTTTCTGTAATTCTGGGAAAGGACATTAAAGGTTCATGAATCTTTAAGAATATTTTTAATGCTGCTTCCTGGTACTGTGCACAGCCAAGTTCTACAAAATACAAAATATTGTGCAGTGCACTGAACAGCGAAAATTTAACCAATTTATAATAAGATGAAAAATAAATAGACAACTGTCATTTAGAAGTTCAGCTGTAGATAGGCCAAAGTTTAATTATTTTTTTTGGGGGGGTTAAATGCTGACTGATATCTTGTCTATGTTGAAAATAGGGATGTTTAGCCCAATTATTCCCCATTTGTAGTCAAGACAGACAAAAAAATTAAATTAAGACTTACCTTACACATGTTCCTTTAATTATGAGTAAAAAACTTGAGGCCAAGCCAGTTCAGGAAGACCATAACAACAAGAACAATTAAGGTTGATGGAAGAAGTAATAAATAATATGTAACATTGTCTGTTGTAATATCCTGGAAAATATAAAATATTAATAGGCCTCTTAATTCCACTTTAATTAATACACAACTGGGCACTTGGTTACTGAAATGCTACAGCTATGAGTGACACTATCACTATGTCTATTCACTATATTGCAAATTATAAAGTTAGGCAATACTATAGGCATACTAGACTGTGCATATAGTAGAGGCCTACTATGAAATGAAAGAGATCCTTATAAAATTTATAAGTTAGGCTGGATTTATGTAGGGCTGAAGCACCCTAAGCATAATTATAAAATTATTAGTAGAGTGTGAAGTGCCCTCTCAATTGGTAGAACACAATGCTTCAGCAAACAAAAATTGTATTCCAAAAATTATACAGTTGTGTAGACTAGTATAGGCTACAGGGCATAGTATACGTTTAAAAACAAACAAACATCAATTGGCTTTAGCTATGAATGTTTTTAAATGCAAGATTGTTTGTATTTTTTTTAATATCTATGCAGTATGGACTGCACCACATCATTTAGTGACTACTCTTTCAATTTTACACAGTGCTCTTACTTTAATATTTAACATTCATATTGCAAGAGCCAGTGCAATCTATGGCGAAATGTCTAAAATGAATAGAGCAGGAGTGGTATTAACACTCAAACATAAATATAAGTATACAAGGTGGCTGTTCTCCCTATGCATTTCTATGCCTGTGAAATGTGGACGATCTATCAAGAAAGTTGAACCACAATCTAATGACAAGCCTCAGAAAAATCCTCAACATCAAATGGTAGGACAGAGACCAAGACACTGAAGTACTCGCACAGGTAGGTCTCCCCAGCATCTTTATCTTTTAATGCAGTGCCAGCCAGCTTTGATAGACAGGACATGTTGTGAGAATGTAAGACAACAGAGGAGTTTCCTGAGGCAGGTTGAGTGAAAATGGTTCAGTTTCTTGGAGTGATGCTGGTAGACTGTCCACGTTCACGTATAGACCTTGATCTTCGTTTCTCATCCGATACCTCTCCTATCCCAAACAGTGCTGCGGAGCCTGCCAAATATGGCACTAGCTTTTGCGAATCTGGCATTCATTTCATCATCATGACGACAGATCTGGAGAGGGTGCTGCCCAAGTAAGTAAATTTATCCACCGCTGTCTGCCGATGATGATATTGGGTTCAAAGTAGGGCTTACTGGGAGCTGGCTGATACATCACCTCAGTCTTTTTTGTGTTGATTGTGAGGCCGAAGTTATTGTAGGCCTCAGAGAAGACATCAACGCTGTGTAGCATGGCGGCTTCTGAGGCAGAGTTAACGGCACAATCGTCCACAAACAGAAGCTTGTTGATGGTGTTATGTTTGACCTTGGTTTTAGCTTGAAGCCTCCTAAGGTTGGCGACTGATCCATCGGTCCGAAACTGGATTGGCAAGCCCATGGTGGAGTCCTTGAATGCATCAGACAGCAGTGCAGAATACATAATACTGAACAGTGTGGGAGCCAGGACAATTGAGTTTATCTTTGATTTCCGCAACTGTCATGGCTAGACTGAAGAAAAGAGTCTGGTCCAATGCTAAACTCACAGCAAGAACTAAGCTGCAGGTATACGAGGTCTGAGTACACTCCTCTATGGATGTGAGTCTTGGACCACATACACCAGGCATGAAAGAAGGCTCAATGGGTTCCACCTCAGATGCCTATGCTGCATCCTTGACATCAAATTGCAAGAAAAAGTCCCCAACATGGATGTTCTGTCTCAAAGATACATGTGAGCATCCCAGCCATATTAATCCAAAGATGCCTGCGCTGGCTTGGGCATGGCAAGTGAATGCAACCTCATCGCATACATAGACATATGCAGAAGAGACATGAAGGCGGCAAACATTGACATCTAAAACTGGGAGGACCTGGCGGAGGATCGATCCACATGGCAGGACATCATGAAAGATCACTACATGCCGAGGAGCAAAACAGGGCAGAAACAGCTGTAAAAAGAGCGAACAGGAAGGCCAGAAAACACTGTTCCACCGCATTCATATGTGGGACATGCATAAGAGACTGCCACTCAAGGATTGGTCTCACTATCCACACTAAGAGCTGCAATCAAAACGGAAAAATGGCATTCATACATATAAAGGGCTCAATTGGTTAATGTGGCACTGTGCATGGGCAATCCAATAAAAACTTCCTGTTTCCGCCATTTAGACAAAAAAGACACTGTCACCAGCAATGTTTGTAAAATAATTTTTACTTTGTCCTTAATTTTTACGCTTTCCAACTGCCACCAGTGTCAGTGTGTATCTAGTCAAGGTTCGACATAAAATTAATTTACAGGCTGAAATTACATCAGCAAGGGGGTGACTGCAAGTCATTGACTATTCTTGCTGTGTATCAGTATGAAGTGGGATATAATTAAGTTGCTATACTATGTACTATTACTATGTGTGAACTAAATTAATTTACAGGCTGAATTTACATCAGGAAATGGAGCAACCGCAGTCCGCAGGTCATTGATTATAATTGATACATCTTGTCTTGCATCAAGAAGGATACAAAATTTTAAAATGCAATAAAGTTGCGACATGACATCTACATTGGCCATGAAATGTATGCATTATGATGATTGTGTTTTGAAGAAAAAATTGCATAGTGCATAGTCATCATGATGATAGATAATGCAGTATGGCATGGGACTAACTTACTAACCTAAGCCCTAAGTAAGCCTAATAAAGGCCAAAGACAACAAAACAAAGCCAACAGCCAAAGTCGCAAAAGTGCCAAGGCCCAAGGCCAGACTCAAACAAAGTAAAGTGTAAAAGTAAAGTGTAAAGTAAAGTTAGTAAAGATAAAGAGAGTAAAGAGTCAAAGAGTAAAGAGTAAAGTAAAGGACAGTAAAGTGTAAAGGTTCACTAAAAAAAAATAAAATTTGTGCTTGAAACATCGGATATTTGTTCATACCATTTTGTTTCAACTAAAAGTTTCTAGATTTCCTGGTATAACAATACTTTTTCCATATCATAAGATAGTACAAATCAATAATTGTAAGGTCGATAAGTAACAGCGTATGTACGTTTAATCCGTTTATTTTATTTTATATTCCTACGTTTTTGATGTAGTATCGGATTTCGCTAAAATACATTCTGGTTGATGTTTTGTACTTTTTGGATCCGACTCCATTAAAGGACTTTCAAGATAAAGCCGAGATTAAAATAAAATCGAATATTTTCTTGTCCATTTATCTATTCAATAAATAAATAATTTAAAAAATGATAGGTAAATAAAAGAGATAATTTTAAATGTTGAAATAATTAATATCATTTTCGTAATTCAAGACGGGCAGCCAAAATGATCAATAAATTAATCATGGGCCTTATTAGAATATTCATCTCAGGGAACAAAAATAATTGACGGAATGGAATTAAAAAATGTTTGCTAAATGATGGATTTCGGAAAATAATTACCAAAACAATATTTTCATCCTGGAACAGCTGAGATATTTTATAATTAACTATTTTTATTTATTTATTTTTTTCAACCAGCCTACTTATAAATTAAAAGAATGTTTAAAAACAAAACTGCCTGGTTTTCAAAAACCTGTTTGGTTGATTCAGCAAGCATCTGGGGTAAAACAATAAATAAAATAATATTAATATTAATTGTCAATAAATATCATTCATTATTATATTATAATTCATGATTCATTCAAGTTTGAAATTAATGAGGTCCAAATCATTCCAAATTCAAATGGCAATGGTCATGGAAAAAAAAAAATGGTTTATTTTATGAAAAAGTTTGTTCATTTTAAAATTTCAAAAAGATTACTCACTCACCTGCACGTGTCACTGACAGTACTTAACTGTCTAAACTCTGAACTCTGAACTAATTACTTATATTTATAATACTAATATTCATTACTACTATTATTACACAACTTTTGAAAAGTTGAGGGCCCCTAGGCCTATCCCTAAACTAATTTACTAATAAAATCATGCCCTATCGTAGACTTAGAGTTAACTGTCTTTGACTTAAGTCTTTCTTCCTCTTTACTCTGTTTTTATTAAAATTAAGAGCCTATCAAATTCAATGGCAATCCGATGCCTAGCACTCAGAATCAGTGTGACTGAGGCTATGCACTATGAACTTTGTAAAACTGATATGCTACCCATGATATAAGACCTTTATACACCATACAAACAATAAAAACAATAAAAATGTAAATAAATTTAAACACTTAGCTGCAATGTAGTATCCAAGAGATAAACTAGAGAAATGCGATAGAACATAAGTAGGTAAGAGAGTTAACACAGTACACAGGCAAATGGAAAGAAAGAAAAATAAGTCCATTGTAATTGGTTGTAGCGAAAAAAAGAAGTGGGAGGAGGGAAATGGTTTTACAAGTGAAGGAGAACACGACATTCAAGTCATGTGTTGTCAAAGACCCATAAGTCTGAATCATTTTGCTCTCCAAGTTCACTCTGTTTGGTGTGTTGGTACAAAACACAAAGGTGGTTATAGAAAAATCCCTTTAGCCCTTGTTGTGGCTTCTGTTGAAGTGTTTTGAGATGGGACAATGCTTATTTTGTGCAATATTATAAAGGTGTACAGGACATCTGTTCAAGAGGCACCGCCCAGTCTCACATAGGTATATATAGTTTGTCCTTCACATGCCAAGATGACCAAGGCTTCAACTTGAGTAGCAGCCTTGACTTGAGCTGTATAAAGTGAGAGAGAGAGTTGTTCAGTTCCCTGCCTATTTGTTCCTATGGCAAGACTAGTCACAACAACTGGAAGTAGACCAGTGTGCAGTAGATTCTCTAGATTTCCATCTGGCAGAGGGTACAAACAGTGGCTTTGACAACATTGCGGCTATTACAAAGGACACCATCCCTTATCTCAAAACTAATTTGTTGAGTCTGGATGAAAAAAAGGCAAGTGTTGCAATGGCTTCGCCCACATTGCTTGGTCCCATAGTGTGAAGGGGCAGCGCAGATACGACTATGTACAAGGAGATCTTGCAGCTTTGATCTTTTCTGAAAACAACAAGAGGTGGGGCTAAGAAAATGTTGTTCGGGATTGGCGAGGAGAGTAGCAGTTTATAGGAAAACATGTTTGGCATCAGCACTAATAATATTTTTAATGCATTTAAGCGCTGATAATAGTACTGTCTCCAGGTATGACCTACACCAGAAATATTCAATGATCTCAAGTGCCTTGTCCCAAAAGTCATTGTGACTGGCAATGTGAAAAAAAAAAAAACTAGTTGAGAACAGGGAATAGAGTCCTTCCAGGATTTAGATTTGGAAAAAGAGTAGATTAAATAGCTTTGGTTGTCAGTAGGTCTAAATTAGGGTGATTGGTATACATACTAGTTTTAGTAGTTAGTATGATTCATTATCAATTAATCATCAATCAGTATAAAAACTATAAAATATAAATAAGCATTTTTTTTCTTATCCATGATGACCAGTAACCAGATAAACCATTTCTTTAAAAAATCTCAGTTCCTATTAATAAGCCTTACTAGCCATAAACATATATCATATCATATATATATATATATACATATATATATATAAAAGTGAAAGTTTGTTTGTGGCGGGATTTGTTTGTTCCACTAAGGGTTTTACAAGGATTGGTGGATCTTGACCAAACTTGGCACATATATCCATCATTATCCAAAAGGAAATCTTAAGGGGTTATGAACTTTTTATAACATTCCGTTTGGGGCCGGGGGCCTCAAATTGTTTTTTTCCTTATATGAGCTTTTTAAAAATAATTAGAATACTCCTACATGAGTAGATGGATCTTGACCAAAATCAGTACACATATACTTTATTATCCACATTGAAATACCGAAGGGTACTGAACTCATAATATCGATTTCTCTGTGGCCGGGAACCCCAGTTAATTTTTCCTTATATAAGCTATATCATATCAATAGGCTTAGACAACACTATAGGTTATATGTTAATTGATGGATATAGGCCTAGCTTTGTAGCAATACCCTCCATTGTCCGTTTTGAAATATCGGATTTAAAAATAATAATAACCATTCTAGAATTTCCCAGAAAGTTCGATAATTTTAAAAAGCTAAATCTATGGCATTTTAAAGTAGATTTTAATGGGACAAATTTTAAATTTTAACTTTATTATTTATTGGAATGATTTTTATAGGGCCCTTTATCTGAGGCATAACTAAATTGATACAGTTATGAAATGGGTCCCGGGGCCCCTCAGTAAACTTAAAAGAAAAAGGGCTATAATTATGGAATTTGTTGAAGATTTTTATCGTATTTGAAAAATAATTAGATAAGTTGTTTTTAATCATGTTTTGAGCAGGCTATTAAATTTAATCTAGAATGTTCCAGAAAGTTCTAAATTGTTCCAAGGGGATATATAGTCGGATCGAAAGGATAATGAAATTTTAGTTAGTTCAATTCATTTCTATACTGCCCTGGAGTTTACTGTTCTCTCAGTACCACTGAAGAATTTTTTGATACGGGATCTCAAATGGGTCGGGATCACATCATAATCTTTATCCCAACGAGATCAGGATCCCATCAGAAAACGGGATCCCATCAGGATCCTTACCTTAAATGGATCTACCGGGATCAGGATCACACCGGGAAACGGGACTGCGCCAAGATCAGTATCAGACTGGGATTGGGGTCCCAATTGAATTGGGGGTCACACCAGGATGGGGTCCTAATGCAATCCCGAGCCGCGCCGGGTATATAGGCTAGTCTATTATATAGCTGGTAAACTGCACCCTGCAGTTATATAAATAGATACATTTGGGAAGTAAGTCAACCACTTGTGATTTTTTTTTTTTACTCATTCCTTTTTTTTTTGTCTTTTTTTTTGTTGTTATAGCTCAAAATGGGGGTACAATTGTCAATATGGATTTAGCTCAGTTCATTTTCAGTGATGATTGGACTCATGAAGATACCAAGGAGTAAGTCTAAATGTAAATGTTTGGATTAAACTTTAAAATAATAACAGCATATATAGAAATCCAGGGCTATTTAAAAACTTGTTATAATAAGCCTATTAGTCATTAATTTAATCAAATAATGGAATATTGTACTGTAAAATTGGAATGCCTGCATTATTTCATTGCCTGCATGTTAATATATACAAACATTTTCCTCCATTCAGTATTTCTAACAGTGAAGCATACTTAAAAGAGCACTTAGCTGTATTTCGCTCACAATATGTTTTGGATGCAGTAAATAACGGAAGTGAAAAATGCACTCTTGGAACATATTTCCTTTATCCACCAGATATCCTTGAAAGTGAGAATTTTTAAATTATTATATATATAAACCAAAATCATATCCTTTAACACTTAGTGAATTTTTTAATGAATTTTTGTTGTACTTTTTAAATACAGATGAATGTTGATATTAATATGTACAATTTTAAATTTGGTATTTATATTAAGTTAATAAATATCTGACAACAGACATTCACCATTTCATTATTCACAGCACTCCAGATTGTTAAACAAATTTTTATCATATTTTTTTTACTGATCTGTTAGTTGTAATTGAAGACAAAATTTTAAGTAAAACATAGTTTAAAAGTAGTATATGGATGTAAGTATGTAACTTAATGAAACATAAATAATACTCAAGGGGAGAAAAACTATTATACAAATATTAATCTTAGACTAACCCAAAATATTATATATTTTAACTTTCTTTAGGTTTTAAGATGAAAGTTTTAGAAAACTGTCTTAAATTATAATAGATTTCTTAGTAATAAATAATTTTGGCACAGTATGAAGAAAATATATTAAGCGTTCTTTGTTCTAAATCATCTTTTTAAATAACTAGCCAAATAAATTAAACTATTTTTTTACAGAAATAAAAAAAAGAGAGCCATCTACTAATGTTGATGCTCCTTCCAAATACGCATCAGATAATGAAGTATCGGTACAGGGACAGATGAATAAAAGAACACATAATGGAAAGAAAACATCTTGTTCACCAAATCTTGAGCCAAAACAAAAGATTTCAAAAATAGCTCCACAATTATCTCATTCATCCAAATCTACCAATTCAGAGGAAGCAAAAAGAGGCACCAATACAAAAGCTGGTACATTATCTTCTACACCAAGAAATCAAGTAAGAAGAAAATTATAGTAAAATTGCTCTTGAAAAAGTCGCTGTTATAATATTTTAAATTATGAATCCTATTTTCCTACTAAAATCTATAATGGGACAGTGCAGCAAAAAATGCAGCCTTGACTGCCATTCCAGGAATGGCCTTGTAAGCCATGCAAAGAGCTGCATAATAAAACAGAAGCTAAAGCACCATCTCAATAAGAAAGAAGAAGCCAACAATTCCAAATATTTATCAATAGCTGATGCATATTTTGTGGGGCATTTTTTTTTTTAAATTAAAGAGACATGATCATAAATAGGAAAAATTAATTATTCAGTAGCTCACCAAGTATCTTGGGAAGACAACTTTCAGTCTGGATAATAAAAGCTTTATATATGTAATGACAATGCTAAGTTATTATTATGAATTCATTAGTGTTGATTAACGAAAAATTTGAATTCAAAATCTTCTGATATTGATAGACAGTACCATTTATTATTAATAGGAGTCTGTAATCCATCATTGTGATCCAATTTAAAAACTATCAAATACCATACTTCAATTACAGTGGCATTAAATGTTCTTTTAAAATAATACAAGTTTTATGAAGTTACTGTTACTAACAGTATTAGACAAGCTCAAAATCGTTAAATACATTTCCCACAGATTAGAAATCTACTGTTATCACATGATGCCATCAAGGATATTGGTGAGAAATTTATTTTATGAATAATCTATAGAGATTTCATTACATGCCTGTATTTTTTTTTACTAAATGAAGAGAAATCTGTAATTTTATATATTCAATTGTTCATGAGAAATAATACCAAATTGATCATTCTATATGTTTTTTTAGGGATAAGGGTAGCACTGAAGCATTCATTTTTTTTTTAAATAGACAAAAGTACATTTTCATTATTATTAGTATTATTATTATTATATTAGTAGTATTATGGCTAACACATAAGGAACTCTAACACGTTTATTCAGCTGCATGTCTACCGTTTTAATGACTTGTTACAAGCAAGATCACATGGCCTCTCAACTCACAAATCAGTGGCCTCACATATTCTTAACAAAGGGACGCAACTGTAACAATACAACGACATCACATCCCCCTCTGTCTGGAAAGAGGTGGCACATCAAACATTGACAACAATACATAGTTTATTAATTAAGATATCATGAGTTGGTTATAATAAAAATCCACTAATTATAAATAAAATCTTTCATTCTTTTTTGTAAGTCTGTATTTCCCATCCTGATCGGTTCTTCGTTGGTTGTGGCATGGTTGCTGACTCGACTCAAGATCGAGTTCTGTTTTATCTGGTAACTCGGGATGCCTGATGTCATGATATTGGAAGTCAGAATTTATATTGGGTTTATTAGAGTGTTTGTATTGATAAGGTAGAGGGGCCTACAAGTGGTTTCTGGAACTCTAATGGATGCAGCAGCAGTCTGCTCATCTATTGGTACAACTCTTCTTAGATGACATTGATTGCGATGATAAACACCACTTTCTGATGCACCTTCATACGATTGTTCATGAATTAGTTTATTGACATCTCTTTTTTCCCATCTCCTATTGCCTTGTGGTGATGGTTTAAGCCTCACCGCCTCAACCTCCTCAAAGGGTGGTAAGTCCTTGGCGTGTGTATTGTAGTAGGTTGCGATCTTGTCTGCTTTTCTCTATGTATTGATCTGTGTTTCTCGGCTTCTGTCATATATGGCTTAAACAGGCTTTGGGCTATTGTTAGCAGTGTTCTAATTCTTCTATTGAAGAATGACTGCGCTGGAATAGTACCCATTTGATTAGGAATGCCATATCTTGCAAACTGGGCCTTTATTTTTCTGATCACCCTTTCTGTCCTTGTATGTTCAAATTCACCTTTATTGCTCACAGATGACTGTATGTGTGCAAGGTATATTTCCTTTCCCTTTTTGTACTTCACATTTATATCATAATCTTGAATTCTCAGCATCATTTCTTGTAGTCTACGAAGAACAACTGAAAGAGGTTTTGCCATTATTGCCCCCAAAGGCTTATGATCACTCTCAATCGTAGTGAGCGAACACATGGCTAGCATTTCCTTTTAAATCTATCCATATTTGGTTTCGGTATATGTCAGAGACAGACTAGCGTGGGCTATAGCCTTACCATTTTGCATTAGTACAGACCCAAGCACCTTTTGGCTAGAATCACATTGTATGGTCACCTTTTTCCTGGGATTATAGAATGCCAACACAGGAGCTTTTGTCACCATCGACTTCAACTCACAGCAGGCAGCGTCATGCTTTTAAGACCATGACCACTGGATATATGCACTTAGTAGTTGCAAATAGGTTCAAGGGTTTCAGATTGTCTGGGAAGAAATTTTTAGAAGAGATAATTCACAAAGCCACAGAAACGTCTTACTTCCTCAAAATTTCTTGGTTTCTTCATTTACTGGATAGCTCTTACTTTTTCTGGATCTATTTTCAAACTTCACATGTGATTCGATGACCAAGTATGAAATTTCCTTCATTTCAATTTCAGCTTTATCCTTGTGAAACTTTATTCAAACAGAAACAGAAGGACATCTCTAATAAACTTTAGACATGCAGCTGAATAGACGTGTAAGTGTTCCTTGTGTGTTAGCCATAATACTACTAAATATAACAACCGGTATTTAATATTATAAAACTATTAAAATGTACCTGTTTTTTTTTTAAAGAGTGCAAAATTTTCCCTTTTCACTGGGGTCGACTCTGTTTTGTATATTAATGGGTTTTTTAATTTAAATTAGAATCTATTCCTGATGTCAAAACCCTTCCAAAAGTAACAGATGAATTGGAGTTTATTGACCTCGACGATAATGATGTCAAAGTATGTATCCATTGAAGAGTCTTCAAATTAATTTAGCAGAATCTGTTTCATCAATACTGAAGAAAAATTCCTCATTTATTTTCATTAATTTTTTGATGGTCAATTTATTTTAAACTATTTAAACTAGTATCAAAACTAGGACTTAAAAAGCGAGTCAACCTATCTTTATCATGCTTTTTCCAATCACAAGCAAAGCATTGAATGCTGCTAAATTAACTGTCATATGGTACTGATGAATCTTGAAACATATTTTCCACAATATCCACATCCTTCTCAAATGCCAGTAAATTAATAAAAAAATTCTTTGTGCCAGAATAGCAGGCAGTTGTTTGATGTTTGTGGTCACCTTAGGGGGAGTAACAAAGGAACTGCGCTTCCTTCGGTGTTTCCCCTGCCCAAGCAACCAGATATTTTCTGTAATTTCTTTACAAGCAAAGTAGCTGACATTCGAGCTGAGCTTGATCGTCTTGATGCCCCTCCCCTTGAATTGCCTCCTTTCCCTTGTCTTACTTCCCATTTTAATATTTTTAAACCTGTTTCAGAACTTGAGGTAAAAAATATAATCCTAAAATCTAAACATACGTCATGTTATTTGGATCCCATCCCAACCCCCCTGTTGGTTGAGTCATTAGATATCTTGCTCCCAACAATAACCCGCATAATAAATGAAAGCTTATATTCTGGCACTGTTCCGCCTCTTTGCAAATCAGCTGTCATCAAACCATTGCTTAAGAAGCCCGGTCTGGATGAAAATAATTTAAAAAACTATAGACCTGTATCTAACTTATCATTTTTATCTAAAGTTATTGAAAAACTAGTCCTAAAACAACTTTTTGCTTACTTAAATGATCACTCTCTTCTCAGTTCTAATCAGTCGGCCTATAGACATTTCCATAGCACGGAGACAGCTCTCTTGAGAGTCAGTAATGACCTCTTGCGCGCAATGGACAGCGGTAATGTCTCCATTTTGATCCTCTTAGACCTCAGTGCGGCCTTTGACACTGTTGACCATGAAATCCTTTTCAAAACCCTTGAAAACTACTTTGGAATTTCTGGTTCGGTTTTGGCTTGGTTTAGGTCCTACCTCTCTGATAGAACGCAAATGGTCTCTGTCGATGGCTGTCTCTCCGGCAGTGCTGATTTGGTGTACGGAGTGCCACAGGGGTCCGTTTTGGGTCCGGTTCTATTCATAATGTATACCAGACCACTACTCCTCTTGCTCGGGAGGCATGCTGTTGAGAACCAGTCATTTGCAGATGATACACAGCTATACATGCATACCCATCCATCTCTTGTCGATTCCGCTGTCCAGACTTTGCGGGGGTGCATTGATGATGTCAAGTCTTGGATGACACTCAGCAAGTTGAAGCTTAATGATGACAAAACAGAAGCACTCCTCATTTACAATCACAAATCATCCTCTACCTCAACTCTTCCCACCTCATTTCAAGTAGGTAACTCCGACATACAGTTTACACCCTCTGCTAGGAATCTTGGTTATATTCTTTCTAACAACATGTCTCTCGATAAACATATCTCTCACATTTGTCGTTCGGCATACACCGCCATCCGTCAGATCAGCTCCATCCGCCACTACCTGACAGTTAGCGCAACAAAAACTCTAGTCTGTGCTCTTGTTCTCTCTCGTCTTGACTATTGCAACTCACTTCTGTCAGGTTCACCGAAACATTTTATAGAAAAACTGCAGAAAGTTCAAAACTCTGCTGCTAGGCTTGTTCTTAAGGCAAAAAAACGCGATCACGTCACTCCACTACTCCACTCACTACATTGGCTCCCTATACAGGCACGCATTGACTACAAGCTGTCTCTTCTCTGTCACAACTTTTTCTCGGATTCCTGCCCTTCCTATCTAACTGAACTTCTTTCTGTCTATTCACCCCTTCGACAACTTCGCTCCTCCGCAGACTCGCGTATTCTGTCCGTTCCCAAGACACGCACTAAATTATATGGTGAACGATCTTTCTCTTTCTGCGCCCCCAAACAATGGAATTCTTTGCCACTACACATCCGCAATATAACAACCACACAGGCCTTCAAAACTGCACTCAAAACACATCTATTTAAACTATACTACTCTGACTGATTCTCCTCCTATAAACCGATAAACGTACATGGGTTTCCTTGTGAAAATGTCTGGTGTGGGTGGATGAATATACCTATGGTGTTGTTTTGCTTATATGTTGTTTTTATTTCATTTATGTATTTTATTTTAATATTATGATTATGCCTCTTTGCTATATATGTACAGCGCGGTGAGCCCAGCCCTAGGCCGGGGTACCGCGCTATATAAGACCACTTGTTATTATTATTATTATTATTAATAGAAATAGAACAAAATAACCATTTAACACATCACAGAATATTAAAGAACAGTTGAGTTAAAAGACACTTAAAATGCTATTTGGTTATCATCATGACCACTCAGTCACAAATTACATAATTTACTAAGCATTCATTTGAAATGAAAACTAGAATTTTCTTTGGAAGCTTAAATAAATAAGAACTTATTTATAACTCGGTATCTAACCACTGATTAAAAATTTTCATCAATTTTTCTATTTTCAATTAATAGATGATTTTGAAAAGTTCCTGAGGGTCCAAGATGAATGAGAAACCTATGGGTTGCAAGTAACCTGTCATTCTTGGCATCCTGTTGCATTGGGATATACTCACAATAACATATTAGAGACCGTAAATGAAAAGAAGACATTTTTAGGCCTATTGATGAGGAGGATGAAATAGAATTAAGAAAATAATAATAAATGTGGTGTGTATTTATTTTTAATGTTAAACTTAAACGTGTGTGTTTGGTTTTGAGTTTGGAGGTGATAGATTTGTAGCAGTGTTTCTATTTTGGATTTGTATTGTTATTTCCACCATTTAAAATTTATATAACATTCCGAAATTTCATTTATAGTCTGTATCGATCTCCTTTATTTCAAACATGCTGAGTGAGCCAATAAAGTTGCCCCATAAAAGATTAAAATTTGGAGAAAAATATTCAACTTGAACAACAAAGAGTTGAACAAACAAATAAATCAATTTCGTTGCTTGATTTAAATAGTTTTAAAATAGTTTGCAAAGTGTTTTTTATTTATAAATTAAAAAGCTTTACAAGAAGATACTTTCATGTTATTTTTTAAGTGCAATTAACCATCCTAAATTAACTCTTTCATAGTGGCATAGGCTTATGAACATGGCTAGCAATTTTCAGCTCTCATAAATGGATTTTAGTACATTTGACTTTAAAATCCTAAATACATATAGAGTTCCAATAATAAAGTAATGAAGTATTTAATTATGACGTAATGATGAAGTATATTAATTTATGAAAAATTTAAGCTAGGTGTAGATAATGAAAGCCATGCAGTAGTTGAAATACATTTTTAAAATTACATTTATTATCATCAATAATGTTTTAGTTAATAAATCATGTACACAATTTACCATTAAAAGTATGATGCATTATAAACAGTATTGGGAAAGCTTGATAACAAATTTTTTTTTGCCTTAAACATTTAAATGTTTATTTACTATAAAATATTAAATAAATTTATTTTCACTGCACAAAATTATTATGCTTCATACACATATGCTTGCACAACCATAATTAATTGTCATAATATGTCTTTTTAAGCTTGTAGTGGTAGCATTCTCAAATGACAGTAAATTTATTCATGCAAGAATAACAGCTCAAACAAAATAACCAATTACCTCATCCCTGATATCAAACAACAGTGGTGTCATTAAAAATAGTTCATGAGGCAATAAAAGTTTTGATCAATTCATTCACTTGGTTAGGCTCATCCATTTGCACCCAGTGGCTGGCATTTTCCAAATATCTGATTGTTAGGTTTTCTGCATATGCCTGGCATGCCTCAGCTTGGCCCCTCTCGATTGCAAGATCACGACAGCCCCAGATAAGAAGCACAGGTTTAGTTACAATTTTGTGAAATCTTGATGGCACTCCAAATAGCACAATTGCTCGTATGTAATTTATAGGACCAGTCAAGGAGCCTAAAATATATTGTAACATTTTTAATCAGAAAAGAAAATAAGAAGTGGATAATTCTAAAATGCTAATACAAACATAAATTTATAATTTTATTGAATACCGTATTTGATTTTCTTCCTCAATACCACGAATGTCATTGTTACTTTTACTTAAAAGCTATCAAGTGTTGTTCAGAGTTATATATTATGAATTTTAATTTTGTTCCCATTTGCTCAAAGTTTTCTAGTACTTTGCTTTAAATGCCCACAAAAATTGTATCCATTGTCCAAATGATTGTATAATCCAAATTAGTTGTATAATAATAATGTTTGTGCTGAGAACACTTTTTCATTGTACCGATTTATTTAACAGCTGATAATAGACTGTGTTAACAGTACTTTAAGACTATCCCAAAGACTTGATAAATTATCATTAAAATATGAATTTTATACACACCATACTTCTGAAATAAGTATTTATATGCCTCAACATCATCTTTAGTTGTAGCTCCAGTTAAAACACCATCTTTTTTCCCAAGAAAAATAATATCAAAGAATTTCATATCACTCAGTTTTATGTAAATCTCTGGCAGGACAGGTATCAGAAAGAAAAACATGTACCTAAGGAATGGTAAAAAGTGAATTTAAGATAAGACAATTATATTTTTCATCATCTAATTGTTAATAAAAATACCTGGTACTATAACAATTAAAATATAATCTTCTATTATAAATTTTGAAAAGCTATGAAATATTTATAATTGTTAAAAGTATACATTTTTTTAAATATGTGAAATAAACCGAACAAAAGTTTGTAAAAAGTTTTGCAAATGCCAATGTTTCCAAAGCCTATTTTTCACTGTCAGCTTTTTTGAAGTTAAAATCTACTAAGTTGCACAAGTGATTCATTCTGCTGTATTTGAGAAACAATGGCATCTGCTCTAGAAACTACCTAGTGTTATTTTGCTAGATTAATTTAGCTATCTGTGTTACCAAAGACGTGGTAAAATCTATAAGCTTTCTTACCATGACTTTTTAAACTGTTCCCAATGAGAGAGCAAATATTTATAGAAACTCTGAGGGTGTGGACAGTTGAGGATTATGACTTTGTCAACCATGTCTGGGTAAGATCCAGCAAATGCCCAACTTATACCACCACCCCAATCATGTCCCACTAAAACACATGATCTATATCCTGAAATATCAAACATTTGAAAAGTATTTTCAGATTAATCTATGTTTCAAGGTACAAATTTTATGGACACTTTTCAGTTTGTTTGAATCAATCATCCAATATTATCATTTTAAAGTAGCTTTATTTAAGTACAGTAGATCATTTCAAGATATCTTTTTTTTTTATTAATCTCAGTGAAGTTACATTTCTTCTTACTTGCATATCTTTAAAAATATTTTATTTAGAGGAGAGAGAATTTGAAAAAAATTGATAATTTGGTATTTTATGTAGAAAGGCCTACCATAAATTTCTTAATTTGTAACTGATGGAACCAAAGCATCCTATAAAATTGATTAGAAGAGACTTTTTGTTAACACATCTATTGAATATTGTCACATTAGGGACAGAAAAAACATCTTTAAAGGCTTTTTTTATAGTGTATGAGATAACTTCAGATAAGTAGTATTAACACTCACCGAGGGCCGTGATTATTTGCTTAACATCTTTTACAAGGTGTTCCATCTTGTACTGACTAATACTAGATGGTTTATCAGAGTCCCCATATCCTCTTAGATCTACTGCTGCCACTCTGTAAACATAAATAAAACTGATATGTATAAATATCATTGGAAAGGTTAACATTTATAACTAAATGTTTTTTATAGTATAGATATTATTGCATAATACTATAATTAGTATAATTATAGAAATTATAGTTATAGTGAGGTTACTATTCATACTATTTTCACCACTACAATACTGAAATGGAAGGTGGCCTGATTGCTTAAAATAAATTAAAAACAAGCAACACAACCTTTATTTTACTAACTGTAACATTATTAGAAGAAGTGCCAAGTGTTAGGAAAAAGCTTCAAAGGAAAGAACAGGACTATCAAATATCAAATGAATGTTTCAGCCAGAAGCCTTCAGCAGCAGACAAAACAACAAGAAAGAAAAAAGGCTGTGGCTATTCGGACCCGTGTCCAAGAAGAGAGAGTTTGGGTTTATTAACAAATATTTTTAAATTATTGTAGGGTTTGTAAGACAAAATTTGGTATCAAATGAAAGATAATTGAATGGACTATATGTTTGTAAACTTACTTCTTAAGTTTAATTAAAATAAACTACCACAAATGACATCCGAATAGCATTCTAATATAAATTTACTTTATTACATGGAATAAAATAAGATATATCATAATGAATAACGGTCTTACACCACAAATATCTAATCCTCACAGTAAGATAAAGAGTACTAACACAAGTCTAAGCTCCTGGAATAAACATGAACTTTAATAAGTACTTGACTTTGATTACTGTACTATTACTGCTAACTGTTGGAGAGCTCTATCTAATACTTAGCAAATGCCATGGAAAGCAAACTATTCATGCATCTTGTCTCAGTGAGTCTTTCTCTAACTCTAGGGGAATACAACCAGTATATATAAAGATTCATTTTGTCTGGTTTAAAGTACACCTGAGTCAACTCTGGAGGCTGCTCCGACACCTTATTTATGACTTGTCACTTACTGGAATGTGATATGCTGACAAGGTTAAGTCAATGGGGTAAACTAACGTGCACCGGGTAACAATATTTTAAAATAGAAGAAATTTTAAAATATGTATGTGATCCATAACTTTAATATTAACCCAGTTGTAAAAAAATTCAATGAAATCATGTAGATGTTTTTACATTCAGCAAACAAAATGGCTTTCAACATTCTATTTGGCATTTACTCCCCACCCCCACCAAACAAAAAAAAAAAAAAGGAAGGTGTGAACCCAGTTGTAAAAAAATTCAAAGGAAACAAGGAGATGTTTTTACATTCAGCAAACAAAATGGCTTTCAACATTCTATTTGGCATTTACTCCCCACCCCCACCAAACAAAAAAAAAAAAAAGGAAGGTGTGGGGGAGGGTCCACACTGGTGTTAATAAGGGTATTTCCATTTTAAAATTACCTGTAATCTTTAGCAAAATACTGCAGTTGATACCTCCATGAATACCATGACTCAGGAAATCCATGTAACAAAAGCATCAATGGTTTGTCATCAGATCCATTGCTGACATAGTGGATTCTAATATCCTGAAAGGAAACATAGTACCCGTGTTTTGCAGATTGCAAAAAAAAAAAAAAAGTCAGTAACTACTTTTAATATGTGTACCACTGCATGTACTAATTAATTTTTTTTATTAAAAAAAATATATGTCCATGAATTATAAATAAAAAGTGTGTTTTTTGTTACTGAAATCTGTTGATCTGTATTTTTGTGGGCTGTAGCAAATCTTTCCACTTCTATTGCACATTATTACCAAATTAGAATATTGATTTTATTTGTTTGATACAGGTGCCAAAACTCACTTTTATTCATGGAATTTTAACAGTTTCTAATAGAAAAGTGTATTTTATTAAAAAGTAACTATTACATGCAGTGGTACACACCCTGAAGTGAGGTGTGATGGAATAAAGACTTCAACATTAATTTAACTATTCTTCCTTACTTTTAAACACTGGACGCAAATATAAATAATCAAGTAACCTATTAGTATATTAGATGGAGATTTTCGGTAGTTAGTAGTTATGGTGTAAATAAATGATAGCAACTTTTTTTAGCACATTACTAATAATATAGTCACCTCTAAGTGAAGATACCCATGTGTACCTAAACTTTTATTTCCAAGGCACTCAGGTTCTTTATCTCTATTTTTCCATTCAAACATCTTGCGTGGACCTTTTCTAACTAACAATATTGCCATGCGCAAAATAGTTAGGACAGCAAATATAAGACTTAAATTAAATATGACCCACAAGTGTATGCAACGGTAAATTAAGTTGACCACCATTTTGTTTGTAATCTGCAAAAAAAAAAAGAAAATATGTATAGTATAAGTATAATACATTATATGAAGGCTTTCTCTACATATATATATATATAGGCCTATATATATATATATATATATACATGTATAATATATATTTATTTTTTTTTTATATATATTGCCCAATTAAATAAAAACAAAAAATTACTCTAATGCTTTTTTAAATTCAAAAAATAAAAGTTTTATGTTCATTATTATCTGGGGTTACTGATACTGAATCTGATTATTTCACTCTTCACTGTCACAATTTCTTAACTTAATTACTTTACTTTGTACCATCTTCTTTCTCTTTATATCCTATTTCATCTTCCAAAGGTTATCATATCCGCATCACCCATGCCATAATATAATATAATATAATATTAAAGTATATACCGGTATATCATATGGAAATCTTAGCTAATTTTCCTTGGCAACAAGGCAAGAGATAAAGAGACTGACTTAGCAAAGACATTGTAACAGAATCAGAGATGTTGAAAACATCCACAAGAAAGAAATGGAATGAGCTGGAACGAATAGCTTAAACTTAAGAAAGAAAGGGATGGAAAAAGATCATGAATTGCTCATAATATTCCTCTAGCCTATGACTCAAAACAAGCAGAGAAGAAACTCATTGACTTATCTTTCGGATTTCAGTAAAGTATTTTGTTTGTTATGCTCCTCAGGATGGATTTTATTCTTCCCCAAACATACATACCAATGTATAAATTAATATTTAATTAAACTAATATAATAAAATACAGTAGTGGTATTAATAGTATTATTATTTTTTATTAATTAAGCCTACCATCAAACTATAATTATTCCATATTACAACATAGATTAAAATTGCATAGACAGCTGTTGCCATTTAATGTATAATTCATATATTTGATATATAGTATGGTAAATTTTTAAGCAATAAGTTGTAGTCTGCATCAAGGACACCGTTTAAATAGGGCGAACAATTTATTCTAAACAATAATTAGTTTGATCAAGTGTTTATAGTTTGTAAATCACAACAACTCGAACGTTTAAATAGGGCGAGGTGGGGCATTTACCCCCCCCCCCCCACCAATTTGTGGGTTTTATTTAAATTTCTATGTACTGTGGCGCCTCCAGTAATAAACAACTTAACCAAGCCCACCAAGTTTTGGTCCCCGCCCCCCCTCTCCCCTGAAAATACCTGAAATGATGCCCCTGGTCTGCATAGGCCATGGATAGATGATAGGCTCATACTCATAGTATAGTAAGTTTAAGGTCTACCCTCTATCATTCATAGTTAATAGACTTAAATTTAAAATAACTTTAACTGTGCCTCTGATTATGATGCTGACTATAATAAACATTTTCAATATGGTACTATAATATAATATATTAATACTATAACTATATATTATAATTATACATCAAAAATATGAAAATGAATTACTTATTCGGTTATAGTATAGTTGTCAATGCCAATAATACCAGACAATATATTTTATATTATTCAATTCAAAATAATATATATTATGATATGAGTATGTAAATGTATATATTATATAGTATAAGTATAAGTCATAATAATAATAGTCATCATAGTATCATAGGCCTACTTTTGGAGTAGTAATTCGTATGTATTAATGTCTCCTGGTCCTGTTGCCTTACTTACATTACATACTAGACTAAGAAAGACTAAGTAAGTGTAAGGTACTTGTAAGCTTAACTTAGTCTTGGTCTTGGACTTGGACTATGAACTATGGACTCGAGTTTGATAATATATTATTATATTATTAATATTATTATGAAGCATAAATAAACGAAAAATATTAAAATAATACTAATTAAAATTAAAAATGAGTAGTCTCCCTGCACGCCGTGTTACCGTGTTACTTGTTGAAAAAATGAGGGTAAAGAATTATAACTCTAATTAGTATATAAAATTAATATACTAAAATATTAATTTATTAATAAGTTACTGTTTGAAATATTGTTTTGTATCATTACCACACTTACAGCTCGTGCTACTTGTAATTTTTTCTTTATCCACTGATAAAAAAAATGAATTATATTCCGACTTCCTGTTTAATAATAAGTTTTAATAAGGCATATAAACTCATTTTAACTGATTGTTGATATTTGAATCATTCATTCATTGATTTAGGGAGTTTAGGACTTATAGAGGGAGTATGCGGTGATGCCCCTCCCACCCCTAAAATTACCACACTTAAGTTAAGTAAATGACTAAATAGCAACAGTGAGTCTGAGTGAACTGAGTAACAGAGTAGACTGAGTAGTCAAGCTTTAAGCCTAAGGCTAGGCCAAGGCCTAAGTTAGTTAGGCCGCCTAAGCAGTTACTTGTGGGTAGTAGAGTTATAGCAGTTAGAGTAGGACAATGACTTCAAGGAGTATGACTACTATAGCTAGCCTATATCATATTACTAATTACTAGGCTGTTAGTCAACACAACTTAGTCCTTAGTCATTGTCACTGTGCCTTCTTAACTGTGCTCAGTGTCAACTGACACTAATCAGTCATTAATAATGACAATAGTCACAATTCAATGAGGACCAGGACTGAGTTTCATAATAATTCCTCAAGTTCCTCTTCTACATGGCTTAGTCACTGTGACTCAGTCTGCGGCTGTACTGAACTATAGGCCTACTCAGTTTTAATTGACACTATCAGACTATCACTACTCACACTTAGTCATTATTGACACTAGTGACCAAATAAAGTAAAACTTCAATTTAAATGTAGTAGAGTGTAGAGTAGAGCAACAAATAAAATTATACATTTTAGAAATTGTTTTTTTAAAAATAAATTTCAAATGTTGTAGTGGAGAAGAAAATTATTAATAAAGGCTTACATTAGCGTAAAGTAACAAATTATATTGGCACAAAGTGAGAAAAAAAAAGTCAAAGATTTAAAATTCATACGGGTACGGTATGAAGAGTTTTTATAGGCTACAAAAAAATTTTTATATTGCTATCCTTGATTTCCAACATTATATTTCATGAAAAATGGTTTTTGGGCTGCAAAATCAAGCGAAAATGTCTACTCCAGATAACAGCTAAGTTGCACCAAGTAAATTGAAACCATAGATTGAGTTAGAATAATGCCCAATGGCAATCACTTCACCAAGCTCAATATATTACATTGATACTTCATCAAAGATTCTTGTCATGTTGGGGGCAATCCATATGTAAAAAAAATGTCCACCCTGTTGCATCTGTACATTTGTTTATCCCCCTCCCCTTTGTACATATAAAATGAGAATCCAAGCTCCGCACCTATTTAAATTTATACATAGAATTAGAATATTATGACATGCACAGAAAACAAAAATCGCCATAAACCATGTTAAAAATAATACCATTGGTTTTCTCCACTGTCTGTTTGCATAATGAATACAATCTTTGATTCAGCCAAACTAAATAATTACATCACAAATTAAGTCACACACATGGACTTAAGTTGCCACCAATGTTCCTTTTAAGCGACACGGCCGCGCAGCTATCTCACAGACGGCGCGCAGCAGTTTTTAGTACGGCGCAGCAAATTTCCATGCAAGTAAGTGGGCAGTAAAATTTTGCGCACAAAAAATTGAAGCTGTAAAACTTTGCATACAAATGTATGATTTTGCACACGAACCAACAAACATTAGAGGGAACATTGGTTGCCATTAGGCTAAATATTACAGCTGCTTTATCTAACGAGTTCATTTGTGAAAACATAAATCAACAGTGTGATGATATATACAAAACCTTGTGTTGATATTTTTGATAGCTTAAAAAATAACAAATCATGGATTTAAACGATTTTTTGGTGATGGCTTTATTAGTAATATAAATAGAATAGGGTATTTATGAACCATCGAAATTTAAGGATCATTATTGCATATTTGTGCCTAAATGTATGTGCACATTCTGAAAAGGACACCCTCCCCAACTCAAACACCATAAATTAATTATACAAAATCAACAATTCCCCCCCCCCCCTCAAAAAAAATTATACATAATTTAAGTTGACTCCTTAGATATTTTCAAGTCTTGCTCAATAATTAGTTAGGCAGTTCATTATTGTATTGCTTTATTAAAAAGCTTCATTTGTGTTTTGATTAAATGTTATACCTTTAGTTGGAATTCTATTCTTTTTACAGTGTATGACAGAGAGAGGGGTGGGGTGGTAAAGGATGGTTAAGGAGTTAAGGGGGTGGTGGCAGGAAAAAGTTTGAGAACCAACAGTACAGACGATAGATAGGCCTATAGTATAATATATCCTAGATACAGTATTTTAATTTAGTCTTCAATGATTCAAGAACTTAATTTTATCCATGTACATTATATAGGATATCTCAATCTGATAAATATCAAATGAAAAATATATATAGTCGAGCTAATAATATAGGCCTAAATGTAACATTATTGATTAAATAAGAGTTAGAATATAACTTATGTCATTCAGTTATCCTTCCCCCAGGCTAGTCTGGTAATTGTTGAATAAAATCTTAAATAAAGAATGTAGTCCTAATCAAACAAGGTTTTCTAACATTGATTTTAATTTATTTTTTTGCAACAGAGCTATTTAAATACACTAAAGCACCTTATTTAACAAGAACATATAAAAAAAAACAAGCAAAAAAACATTTGAATTTCAATGTTAGTTTATCATTTTAAAACTCCAGGGATAATGTTTCTTTATTCAATATAATTTACTGTGCATTCAAATGTTGATGTCTCTACTTTTTATTTCAATTTAAAGGCCCAGCAATATTCTACTTCACTACCAAGGTAACTACCAAGTAATCTGAACTCTTTGATATTAAAAAAATGTCTTATAATGACAAAAGTTGGAATCAACAGAATGAGCATGGTGTTAGTGGACAACATTACCATACTAAAAGATCTTCTTCTACTGATGGTGCTTACAGGCCAACTAATATTCATTCATTGACTCAGAATGGCCCACCACCGCATCAGAGATTCCAGCAGCAGCCACGAAATTTTTGTCACCCACCAGTTTTCGAAAATGCTCCAGGAACAAACTTTGGTTTCTCTGGTTTCAATCAAAGGCCAAGGTTTCCATATCCTTTGAATTTGACACCACCACAACCCTTCCCAAACATGCCACCTGGTCATAGGCTCAACATGCAACCTGTGAATCAATTAGGTCAAAGTCAGGTCATCTCAACTCCTCCCCACCCTTCAGTGATTCAAAATAGCCATCTGGAATCAAACATCAATTTAAACTACACTGTACCTCCTCCAAATTTGATTCACCAGTCTTCAGTCCTCCCCATTTCCCAACAGGGATATGGCCAAAATTTCCACAATCCTCCATTTGTTATTCCAACCAATAACTCACACTCATTTATCAAGCAAAATGTTAATCAACATATGGAATCAAAAGCTGCCAGTGAGAAAAACATACCAGTACAAAGTAAAATTGAACCCCAGCACATTGGAACACAAAAGCTGCAGACTTGGTTACAGAAGGTGGGCAAATTAAAAAAATCAAAGACAACTGTATCTAAGGAGGAAAAAAGTGAACCAAATGTAAGTTAAGATTGTAAAAAGTTCATTTGCTTATTTATCTATTTGAACATAATTTCCTTTTGTCTCTATACATGGGTAAATAATTGTGTCTCAACATAATTAAAATTATAATTATAAGCGATTAATATGTTGTAAAAATCAGAATCTATCATTTTAGACATTTTGGTCTTCAATAAACCAACTCAGAGAATTAGCACATCTATTGACAACTATGTCAACCCAAGTGTATTCTATGGCTGAATCTTGTTCATCTCTTAATAATTCATCTTGGGAGAAGAAGAGGACAGACTTTGAACAATTGAAGGTAGTTAATTATTAGTTAATGATAAATGATATTTAAAAGTTTTGACTCCAATCAACTTAGAGTCACATTTGATTTTTCTATGGTTTTAGCTTTTTTTTAAAATTGATACAAGTTAACAAATACAAACAAATTTAATTTTTAAGTGACTATCGTTTTATTAAGAGCCATACTAATTGATCAATTTAAAATAAATTGTCTTGTGAATTTTTATTCTGCACAGTTCTTCAGATTTATTATTTACTTTCTAAATACAGTTGAAATATTGTAGTTCTGCAACAGTTCTGGAAGAACATTCATTGTTTAACATTTGCAAGAAGTTGACTCAAATAAAAAAGAAAAGGGTATGTTTGCAAAAATATGTTTTCATTTTTACTTCTTTTTTTAAAAATGAGAATAACCCTGTTTCTTATTATAGGTCTAACTTCTTTTTTCACTACTTAATTTTCATATCTGCTATTTATGGCAATGCATTTACTGAAGATACAAATAGAATACAGATGCTTCAACTCATTTTACTTTTAAATATAGCGATATGGAATATAACCAGTAAGTGAATGTTATAAACTTTTCTTTTCAGTAAGTATTGCAAGTTATCACCTCTACCTGTTTCTTGCATAAAATAACTTGGTGTACATGGATGGTGACATCAACATATCCTTTCATATGAATTTAAAAAACAACCTTTTTTGTATCCTTAAACTATCTTCTTGTACAAAGATTCTATTAAATTATGTAAATTTTAAGGGCTTATTTTTAAAACAACAGAACAATAATGAGAATTTACTGAAGCATTTATTGTAGAAATTAATAATTCTTTCAAAATTTTGTTTTATGTACTAACATTCGCTTGTTCCCTTTTCTTTCTTTAGCCTAAACCACTTTTTAATTAATGTTTAAAATGTATTATAAATTATTGTAAAATTATTTGCAATAATTGCAATATTGTCATCTTTTGTCTGAAGCTTTTTAGAAACACTTGGCATTAAGTGTAAACATGATATGTGGTTTCAGTCAAATACGATGAATGAATACAAAAGCTTAAAGCTGGATTTTATAATTGTATACGGAGATTTTTTTATATGTAGAGATAAATGTGCAAAGCTTTGAACACTATAATTTGTTTCATAACTTTTTTGAACAATAACACAAATATTATTGTAAATTCTTTCATTCAGAAAAGGTTGAACAAAGCAGGGTGCCAAAAATTTGAAAGTTGTAGAAGCAAAGTACAAGAACGGGAAGAAAAAAGTCACCAGATTGACAAATGGCAGGAGAGAATTCAAGTGGAAATTAGAGAGGAAAACTTGGTATTCTTCTTTCGTGATAATTTTTACTTTCCTTCTCCTTCAATTTTGTTTATGAGTAATTTAAAAATGTTCTTAATATCTCTGAAGTTTTAGTTACATTAAATGTTATGATTTCCAGTTGTTCATGTCCACCATTTTTTTTTTTAAAGTGATTAATTTATCAAGCAAATCTTTTATCAGAGGAAAGCAAGGAAAGAGGCTGCTGATCAGACTTTAAGCAAAGTAACAAGAGAAATCCATGATGCCAGCCGTCTGATTGAAACTATGCTTGCCCTTCAGAAACTGCGCCTTGTAAGAAGAGATGCTGCTCAGAAAAGAGGTGAAAAAGAAGACACACACACACATATATATATATATTTATATATATATATATATATAAATGCTTTTAAAGCCATCAAAATATGAAAATAAAATGACAATGGAAGCTCAGTATTATATAAAAATGAGATGTGATGACTGTAGCTTTAACATAATAAAGCAATTTACCCAAATCTTTCAAAATGATCATAAAGCAAATAATCCTGATAACTGCTGACATAAAATGCATGTGATTATATCTGTACCTTTTTATTAAAAGGAAATTTTTAAAAAAGGCATGATTTTTCCTTTTGCAGGTGACATTGAACTTGGTGAATCTAGACAAGTATTTGAAGAAAAAATTGCTGACATGATGAGACTGGTTCAGTCTCAATTGGATTGCTACAAGGAAGAAGAGGCCAAGCTCAAGGTGAGCATGTTTTATATGTGAAGTGAAATACTGAAGCTCAAAAGAAATTTTTCATGTACCTGTAAGTAAAAAACCCATCATATTCCCAAATTAAGTTATAACATTAGTACCACTCTACTCAAATTGTGTTACCTAAAATTTCCTTTATTCTTTATTTCAGCAAGTCATTCAATCAGAGCAGGAAGAAAAGAGCAAGAAAGAGAGATTAGTTCAAGAAGAAAAAGATAAACAAAAGCAGCAGGCAGAGGATGAAGAATATAAAATTTTATTGTTTGGTTTTCAAGGTTAGATATTAACTACAGTTTTTAAAGTTTTACAAAAATTTTTATAAAATTCGGATCATTAAAAACATTAATCTTCTAATATACTTTGAAAGAGTATTTAAATAAAGCCTAGTCAGGGTAACTAGTAATTAAAATATTTTGAAGACTCGCTGAAAACATCTTTGAAAGCATTTAACATTGACCAAGGCGTTTTGGGACAGTTCTCAAAGGTTCCATACTCGTGGTGCTCCTCCCTACTCAAGGGCCCAATGCAACATAAGGCCTACAGAAAAGCTACTGCGGAACACAAATGACAAGCCAGAAAAACCCAATTTAACTCTTTACCTGGAGTTGAACTATCCATCCCCTGCACCTTCGGCACCAGAATTTGTTTATGCCAGAATCAGCCTGATCAGCCATCTTCACACCCACTCACAGATTCAGCCCCAGCAAGAAGCCCATGTTTAAAATGGTCATTATTAATTTTCAACTGATGACCTACCATGTAATTGAACTTTGAAGCAGTATCAATTTTTTAAATAATAAATGCTATTTTTGCTCTGCAGAAGAAGTCTCAACTGCAGATCCAATATTTCCTTATGCTGAGTATTATAAACAAGCTGAGGCCAGTCTTCAAGCTTTTGTGCAAATTAGGTAAGCATGAAACATTGATGAATCTGCAGATACAGTTTAATACTATATGCCTAAGTTATTTATCTATCTGCATTGTGCAGTGCACTTGCATTGTGCAATCGACTTGCCTTTATATAACATATGGGCTTTGGTCTGGAAAAGTTTTACAAATAATAACACCACAGTAAGCTTGGGAAATGAACTAGTTCTCTCTAAAAAATTACCCTAGTTACAAAATTTGAAAACCTCATTAAAACACATTAAAAATTATAATTAATAATTTTACCAGTTGATTAATTTATAACAACTTCCAAAAATTAAATTAATTTGAACAAGACTCTTGATTAGAAACATTTTAAAGGTTAATTCTAAAATCTTCGAGCAGCATTTTAAAATATTTTCCCATTTTTTTCCAGGCATGAATGGGACACATTTTTAGTTCCAGCAAATACTCCAGCTGCTAGTCCTATACCTGCATCATGGGTCATACCAGATCCTCCCAGTAGTTTGACATGGGCCCTTGCACTTAAATAAATGTTTGCCTAAGTTCTTATGTTTGTGTACCATTTACATTTAATAAAATTTTATACTTGAACTTTTTCGTGTTTGTTTTGATGGCCTCATCATACTAAATTTTATTTACTTTGAAAAGCTATTCAATCATGGATTGGATGAAATCTCTACATACTTTCTCTACATCTTTTTCACTTTTTGTCAATTAAAGCTTACATGATACATGAATTGATGAAAATTAGTAACTTTTATAGGAACCCAAATATTCAATAATGCAGCATTAAGTTTTTGTTTAGGTTAACCTTCATGATTAAATCTAGTTCTAATTATATTAATATGCATCATTGCTATGTACTTTTAAACCTGTAAGTGTAACTAGAAAATAATGCTACAAGGTTGAATCTTATAATTTGATAGTAAAACTTCACACAATAAATTCTTGAAGAAGTGTACAAAATTTCAGCTGAATTTGAGATCAAGAAGTGGGTTAAAAGTGAGTTGCAAGATTAGATCTGCACAGGTCACTCAAAAGTCAGTGGAGGTCACTATTGACCCTCTGATCATGAAGGGTTGTAGAGCAGAGGGGGGGGGGGTGGGGTGGTTGTAACTGTAATAATGCTTCAGCTCAATTAAGAGTTCAGAAAGTGAGTAAAAATTGAGAAGCAAGGTCTGACCTGCAGAGGTCACTGGTGACCAGAGAAATTCTCCTGGGATCCAACACTACTAATGCAAGTAGCTGCCAGAAGACAGAGAGAGCTTATGTCAATTATTGCTCATACCGACAATGTTTCTATTTTAAGTGCTGAATGGTTAGATGAGAATGATGTTTACTTGTCTGGTATATCATTTCCGCAAGTTGAAAATAATAAATCAGCTATGCCCATTGCTACGATAGAGCAACACCTGGCTACTCCGTGGGAAGATGATAGCAGCTAGAATCTATGCTACAATTAATTATCAGCTATACTGACACTAATCAAATTTCTTCTTCCACAAACAATGATATTTAATCTGTAATAACCTTTTCATTGATTCTGCTTTATAAAATTGAAGCGTAAAAACTTGTTAACTTTTTGATTAACATTAACAAGCTAAAGATAAAAAAAAAAATTCCTACAATTTTGTGTTATTAAAATAGATCAGCACAAAGTAAAATGTAGGCCTATTTAGAGTCTATGTATTTATTTATATTTTAATTCATTTTTAGGTGGGGGGGGGGGATACAAATATTGACATAATTACAGGGGAGGGGGTGTATCATTGAAAGTTTGACAGTTGTTGACAAAGGTGAGGGGGGTCAAAAATTGTTGACATAATTAATGGATGCCCCTTATTTATTAACATTATTAATTTTAGGGGGGGGGGGGGAATACAAATATTGACATAATTACAGGGGAGGGGGTGTATCATTGAAAGTTTGACAGTTGTTGACAAAGGTGAGGGGGGTCAAAAATTGTTGACATAATTAATGGATGCCCCTTATGTATTAACATTCTTAATTGTCTTTGTATTCTTAACAATCCCTTTGTCACAAGTTGTTTAAAATATTTGCTTGTAATTATATAGTGATGGATTCGGAACTGGAATTAGCGTAAAGAATGCAAAACTCATCAAGTGTGAGTTTTTTTTCTATATCCAACTTTTGCTTAGCAAGTCTATTATAGTATTATTACCTAGTTATTCATTACTCATCCTCATGTCCCTTAGTCCTTGGACCGTTGGGGCGCCACAGATGACATGTGAACCATCCTCCTATATTCCTTTCTGTCTTCAGCACTACGCACTGCATCGCCCAGTGCTAGTCCTGTCCACTCTTTGATGTTATCCTCCCACCTTTTTCTTTGTCTTCCTCTTCTTCTCCCTCCTCTTGTGGTGCCCTGCAATATTTCTTCGGTAAGTCCTTGTTTCCTTGTTACGAGGCCGTACCATTGTAATTTAGGTTTTTTTCACAGTCACCAGTAGGTCATCGTACTCCCCACTTGCCTGGCGAACCCTTTCTTTCACTGTATCATTGGAGATATGGTCCCTATAGAAGATGCCAAAAATGCTTCTGAAGCATCTCATCTCCATCGCCTTTATTTTCCTTTCAAGATCGGCTGTAAATGTCCAGGATTCGCAGGCATACAGGAAAATGGAGAGGACTAATGAGCGCATCAGCCTGATTTTGGTGTGGGGACCATTTTGTCATTCCATATTTTCTTGAGCTTTTTTAGTGCTGTTATAGTCTGCGCAATCCTGGACATCAGTTCGGGCTTGGAGCCTTCTTCTGAGACTATTGCTCCTAGGTATTTGAAGCGGCCGACAGTCTCTAATCTTTCCTCCCCTACCTTAATTTCAGTGGTGATGCCTGCGGTATTATTTGTCATCATTTTTGTCTTTTCGGCACTGATTAGCACACCGTAGGATGACGAGGTCTTATCGAGACGCTTTACCAGATGGGCTAGCTCTTCTTCGTTTCCAGCCAGCAAGTCTATGTCGTCCGCAAAGCATAGGTTGGTGATTGTTCTGCCACCAATGCTGACTGTCCCTTCATGCGCTTCCAGAGCATCTGACATAATTCTCTCTAGGAAGATGTTCAATATGGTGGGGGAGAGCAGGCAGCCTTGTCGTACTCCAACCGTGGTCTTGAACCATTCTCCGATGTTGTTGTTAAGCAATTGAAAATGAAGCAACCAGTAGACTAGCCTACCAAGCGACCAACCTTTCAGATAACCTTAGGTGATTTTTTTATTAATTCACTAATTAGGCAATAACAAAACAATTTTTAAAAATATAACTTTTTTATAGTTTAATTTAGTTATAATTTTTTTCATTAAATTTTATCCCAGGATTAGGTAAACTTCATTCCCATTTTCCTGGGATAAGCAAAACCCAGGGAAGTGAGAAACCCTACTGATCGTGAGGGGTTGTATTGTTGTCAGTGGTGGGTAAGAAGTGTGTAAAGTTTCAACTCAACTCGATTGGGCAATGGGAAGAGGGTCAAAATTGAGATCCAAGTTTTGAGCTAAATAAAATTGTGTAAAAAAGGTTGGGAGTGGGAGCTTGTAAACAGTGAAAAGTAAAGGTCATCATAGCAAGGCCAGAGCCTATTGCCAAAATTATAATTATCTGAAAAGTGCAACTAATAACTAATGCAACCCAAAGTTATATTTTTCTGAAAGTCCCAATTCCATCCATTAAATTTATCTTCCTATCATCAGAGTTCATGAGGGGCACAGGGGTTTCCATACAATACACTTGTGCTTTTTATATACAAAATAGTATGCTACTGGTACTAGTTACTACTGACATTAAAAGATCTATTTATAGATTTAAAAATTGATCACTCGATATCGACCATGACCACCTTAGTGACTAGCTTAGTCATCACATTTGTACTAATTGTGAACTTAGCTTTGGGTGTGCAGAATGCTGATGAGACCGATTTTTAAATTCATTGGTTTTGAGCTATCTCAAATATCTCCCTATTTGACACTCAAATTTAATTACCCGTAGTTTTTGTCCGCTAGGTGTTGATAAAATTTATTAAGATTCTTCAACTTCTGGTAAATATGGTTTTCGGGATGCTCACAACGCTATCGGGCTCATACTCATAATTACTTTCAGTTCAGTTTGACAAAGTTCCATGTTATTCTGTAGTTACATTCTATTATCACCACTGCGTCTGGAGAGATTTGGACTATAAACTATTTTTTCATGGAAATAAAAACAAAGCTCATATGTTTGATATGCAACGAATCTGTTTCTGCTTATTTTAAAGAGTATAACATCAAACGGCACTATGAGACCAAACATGCAATTAAGTTTGATAAGTACAAAGGGAAATTTCGACAAGACCAAGTTAATTGTAAATGACTTTTTTTTTAAAAATCTGTACAACAAAAGATATTTACTAGAGTGGGTTCAGACTCAACATGCTGTGCAAAAGTTACTTATGCAGTAGCCATGATACTAGCAAAAATATCGAAGCCATATTCAGATGGTGAAATGGTTATGGAATTTTTGGAGAGCGTCGTTGAAATTCTGTGTGGACGACATTGGAAAACATATTGAAGATAATTTGAAAAGGCGAGCATCCAAGTTTATATTTTATGCTCTAGAACTGGATGAAAGCACAGATTCAGATATGGCAGATACTGCTACAATAGTTAACGGAAACCACATTGAATTTCTAGCAAGAAACCCTTCTCAGGTATGAGTTCAAACTGTTTATTCAGGCAATTCTAGCAGTTATCTTTCCTGAAATCGATAGTGATATTTGCTGTGGCAATACTGAAGGTTTGAGTACTTGAGAACAATAAATGAATCCTTGATCATCTAAACTACTGAAATTTGTATAAATATCTTCTACAGGTACTATGTTTTGTCTTAATACAGCTTCATGCAGTAATAATTTCAAAAGACTGTCAAACATCCAAAAAGTCATTTAGCTACCTAGCTAGATCTGTTTCTTTTCAAAAAAATAAAAATCTGTTCATAAATATATTTGGACAAAGTAAAAAAAAATATATTAAGTGATTGAGTAAAACTTACAGGAATTAACCACAACAAAGAAGTAGATCAAACACATTTTGTATGTAAATGTTATTTTAATGTATTGTTTTTAATATTTAAAAAAAGATTTGAAAAAAAATTTGCTATGCCAATCACAAGTTGTGTAATAAAATGTGAACCCTACATTACAAAATGCACTGGTTCAAAGGCAAACCAAACAGGGGACTACCTATTAGTATTACCCAACAAATGCTACTGCATGTACACTTCATGTTTTCAGACTAACCTCACCTTTTGCGAAAAATTAAAAATCCCATATGATTAAAACATACTGAACTTTAAAATTAAACACTTAAAATGAACTATCTCCACAAACGTAGATATTTACATCAGATCAGTCTGTCTTATTTACTTTATGAAATGGGCTCTAACATCTGCCCCCTTAAAATTAAAAGTACAGCTTTTTTATAAATATAATATAAAATAGAAATTAACTACTGTCTTAATATAGGTAAATAATGGATGCATTATATTAAGATGCTACATATGTACATGAATGACAAAGAAATC